TCACAGAGTCTTAGCGTGCTAGAGAGAGAGAGAGAGTAGCGCACAGACAACGAGCCAGGTGGACACATAGGTGAAAACATGGAAGGGTTCTAGTGGTGGGCCAGCCTCAGGAGTTGACAACAAGTTGAGTTCTTTTTCTAGCATCCATCCTCTTCTGGTTGAGATATGGGGCTTCCCGAGCTAGTTACCTAGAACCCGGGGTCCTGGTTGGGAGTGGCGAGTGAAGAGGAGAGCAAGAGCGCATATCACTTGTGTTTCGCGGTCATGGAGATTTCAGCGTATGACAGTTTCGCTTTGCACGATTCACGCAGCCATGTATCCATCCCAAACAAAAAATCTCAGCAGGTGCCGGAACAAAACACACCGGCTAATTTCGAATGTACCGGGACAGATTCCGCAGGCGAAGCCCGCCAATACACGGTGGGACCCATTCATCTGCGGGCCGCACCCTTTCAAAATGTTGCACCTCACTCAATGAATCAATGAAGGCAAGGAGACACCAGAGTAGAGGTGCCGTCACCGGGGCAGCAAAGAAATCACCGTGTTGTCAACATACAGACGCGTCGGGATGGATGATTTATGACAATTACTTTGGGTGGGATGTTCACTCCAAAGAACCTACCGATAGATGGAGTCAAGAGAGCGAAAAAAATAACACGAAGGAGCCAGAGCATTATCATCACGTTACTTGACGTGTGCTGGCGAGAGGACGGGCGTGCAGATGATATAAAAGTATGGGTGTGGGTACTTCCGCTGTGCTGCAGTAGCTCGACATAAATATTCGCCTGTGTGTGCGTGCGTGCAGGTTTGTGCGATCTCCCTCTCTTGCCTCGCTGTATTGTAGCTCTTCTGCCGGGTGCTGCTGCGTGCTCGTCATCGACACTCAGTGTGGATTGACATTGCGAAGCTTCGTGCACACCGAGACCAAAGTGGCCTGTGCTGGTGTTGGCGTCTGGTATGCACCGGTTGCAGCTCCTAGGCTCCCGCCTGATGTATGTCTGTCTCTGAACTGGCTGGTTCGAATGCGGTGCGCGCAGAAAAAAAGCGGCGTAATTGCCAATAATATTCGAAAATAGACAAGACGCCAAGTAGGCGCCAAGTTAAATGGAGACAGCTGATTGGCGGACGCCAAGTTAAATCTGTCCCGGTGGCTTTTTTTGCTGCCAACACACCAACAAAGTTATGCAGATAGGGTGGGAGCGTTTGATGTTAGAAGCGCTGCCAACTGCAATGGTCGCTTTGGGACGCTATACGCAGTCTTGTCATCCATACATACGCGGTCAGTGTCTGCCGGGAACAGATACATCAATCGTGAACGGCGGTCGGGGTGGTAGTTGTTTTAACGATGATGCCTACCGAGGCCGTCGCATTCGTGTGATTTCCGCAGACGTGTCGAGTTCGGGAGATGGATTGGGTCATCCCTACGAAGGCTACTGTGGTAGTACTCATACTTTTTTTTTCAGGAGCGAACAGGTGTGCAAGTGACCGTTCCATGTACGTGGATATTCGGGGTATCTCCCGACGTATCTTTGGCAAGTTGGAAACTGTTTCGTGTTCCGAGTTGCGGAGGACTTTTGCGGCAGTGGTTTTGTTGCGACTGTTGCTTGCGTGCCTTGATGCTTGTGGCGCACATAGTGCCCTCCCTTTCCTTTGGTTTTGCCTACGAGGGCAACCTAGTAAAACGACTTTACCATCTCTTCATTCCTGTCAACCGGGTCAGTCGTGCTTGCCCGGTAGCACTAGGCTTGGGACTAGTCAACGTGTCGATCAGAATTTGGTGTTCGGCATCACCTTGGACTACCAAATCTAACGTTTCCCAGTCATGTTATGGTGTTTTCTGCAAAACAAAACGAAACAAAAAGACACACACAAGAGTTTTTGCAGTGGTGATGGAGCACTGATTGCAAAAACGCTGCCCACTGCCGCCGGCGCATTCACACTAATCCGGCAGTAATGGCAAGCATAATATATTTTCAACATATGCATATGCCGAGGCCAAACACATCAATCGTGATTGGCGACCGTGGTGGGCTTGGTTCTGAACAGTGCTACCAGGGTTGTCGCAATGAGCGATTCACGCAGATTTGTTTATGCCGAAAACCAAACACATCAATCGTGAATGGCGGCCTGGTGGGTGGGCTTGTTCTCAGCAACAACAGTGCTTACCGCGGTTGTCACACTCGAGCGGTTCTTACTATCCGGTAGAATCATGAACATCTAATGTCTTTGGTATCCGCCAGGACAGAACAACCAACAATGGTACCAACAATAGTTTGGGGCCTGTGGTAGGGCCACCTGTTTCATACAAAGTTTTCCCTGCGGCTGCCGACATTGTGCGATTACGCGGATATCGTGCTCATGATATGATATGTATTCGAGATGTACGGGATGTATGTGCCGGGGCGAAACACGTCAATCGTGTTTTGTCGCATTCGTGTGACCTAAGCACGAGGTACTTTATGCCATTTCCCCCCCCTTATTCGCGTAGACAAAAGGCAACAACTCGGTTTCGTTTGTTTCTGCTACTTGTTGTGGGAGGGGGCGCTCATCCACTCGCAGATGGCGAATAAATCGACGTCAGGGAAGGGTGGCAGGACGCGGGCGGGCCGGTGCGCGGGGACGGCGGCCGGACCCACCAGGTCGTCCCTTTTAGGTGCGGATCTGTCTGCCGGGTGCTCGCGATTGTCTTAAAGGGAGCCAGGGCTTACGCCCGATCGGGGAGCAGTCGGGCGCCCGTCCCGTGCACGGCCACCTCCGCGGACCACGGACCGCGGCCCCCGGGTGACGGTGGAATGGACAGCGTCGCCACCGAAGGGGTCGCCGAGAGCTGGGTGAGTTGAAACACACGGCCGAACGAGGGCGGGCGGCGATACAGAGGGCGGCGGGGTGGCCGTCGAGGAGACCGCCCACCCGTAGGCCAGACCGGACATTACGAATGTATTCACCGCGCGGGCACCTTGCACAAAGATTTGCGGCGGGGTTTGGGGGCGCTCCGACGGCACTGCAATAAGGGCCGCAGCGAGATTAAGACACAGGCGAACTTAGACCTGATGGCCGACCTCGCCTTGTCCTCAATCGCGGCGCGAGGCAGCTGGTCGATGCGGCGACGGTGTGCAGGAACCTACACGTATCACCGCCGGGTGCCGGTGATTCCTGTCGACGTCACGCCGGCGTTATCAGGGCTCTCGTCGTACATCGCAGCAGGCGGAGAAGTTGTCCTCGTAATCGGGATGAGGTCAACGACCCATGATCGGGACACAGAGCAGATGGCGGAGCACATGCTCTGGTGGTGGAGTCGTGACATGTTATGCAACGTTGCCCGATGATGCGCCGTTGACCCTCCTAGAACTGGAAGCCCAAATGGGGACACTTTGGGAACACAGCACTCACACGCCTATTTACCGCACTGTAGTCACCCTAGGCTCCGCTGTGTGCAATGCATGTCGGAACCCTTGGTCTGTCATGCTTAGCAAATGTGGTACGCTGTGTGATACGCTGTGTGATGCCCCTCCTGGGCCTCTGACTTGCTGTACACATCTCCCAACCCGCGTGCCTCCTAGGGTGCAGAACTGCACGTCGCCTGGAAATGGAAAAATGAAAAATTCGCTGACCTAACGTCAGATTGAAAAGTGTCCCCACGTGTTTTGAGGACACTTTTCATACTGAAGCCAAATCATTCTTTGGATGGCAAGGAGCTCAGATTCTTTGGACGGACTGTAGCCCCTCGACGAATGGCTGAAAAATTGTTGTTTTTGCGACGTTATTTTTTTGCGGAGGGACGGAGTCCTGAGAGGGTTAACATCGTGTGGAAAGGTTGTGCAATTCACGTCCTGCACCAAGCTCGTGGAACTTCGAGGCAAACAATGGAGAAATAGGGATGAATCCCAGAAACCAGTATGCGCTGCCCTTGCTAAGGATTGGGGAACATGCTGTGTATGGCGGTTGGGGGCAACAAACTGGAACGAGAGTCTCGGAGGGCAGGAAGATGAAGTCAGACGAACGAGTAGGAGCCGTACACAGTACGCAATATGGAGGACTCGCAAGTGGTATCCCGTACGATACAAAATAGCAAGTCGGGAGGCAACAGGTAGTCAATAACAAGGCTAATCACACTGCATGACTAGTGTCATGACCTCGAAGTTGGCGAAAAAAATAGTACGGTACCATTTCGAGGGCTTGGTCATCTGAGACTACTAACTGTGTGAAGTAAGATTGGTTCCCTCCACCGCAGGAAGGGGCACCCTCGGTTGTAGTTTGGAGGGAAGAGAGAGAGAGAGAGACAGTATTTATTGGGAGAAAGGCAGTAGCACGATAGCAAGGCCGCCGAGAGGTGTCTGCGACAAACGTGCTCTCTGCCAGTTTAGTATCACTCTCTTCCCTCGGGCTTTAGAAAAGCAATAACAAAAACGCAATTAGAAAGAAAACAATTAACAAACGGAATCTTGTGGCAACAAGGGAACACTAAATGTGTGCAAGCCATATCACGACAGCCGACAGCGGTTGCAGGAGTTATGGATTATGCCTGATGGAGAGGGCCAACACTGCGTATGCGCATGCAACAACATGCTCGACACGCCAGACTTCGCGTACGCGAAACATGCCGTTTCCTACAACAACAGAGGGTTGGGTATCTGAGTCTTTCTTATTTTCTGCACTTCTTGGTCCAACATGACGAAACGAAGATGTCGCATGTAGGTCAAAGCACAACAAAATCGACGACGATGGAAAGATATTCCACGAGGGAGATCAACCTACTGTAGGGTATCTCCACCATGTAAGCAGAGAAGTGAAGGACAACAAAGAGAACAAAAACACAGACCTGACGCCAACTGCTGTAACTCACCGTGCCGCTGTCAGAGCAAGCAAACGATCGTGCTGATACTTGCTCCGATTCCAGACCCAGCAGAGCTGCGACCAAGCCCCTCAAGCACCTTTCCCCAGCCGCCATTAATCTTCCCACCCTGCCGGCACCACCCCTTTATCCATCCATAGGCCCACCCCCGCTCCCACCGGCGTCCGTTTTCCCCACTTTATTGTTCGGTTGCTGCCACTAGTGCTCCTGCTGGAGCGCTCTTCCCTCTCCATCCCCGCCCTCGCGCAAAGCATCACCACCCAGCAACGGCGTCTCCACGTCCTGTCCGCCGGAGTACGCGCCAGCACCACTAGTGCCCGTTGTATCTCGCGTTGTCTCTGTTCTCTCATATTACCTTGATTTGCAGCGCCGACTGTAACTGTAGCAGCAATCTCTTGAAGGTTGTCGGAGGGTGTTTTACCGAGAGAGTCGAGGGCAGTTTCCGACGCCCCCCACCTCAATAGGAGGTCAACCACTCTGTTCACACCTGGTCATAGCGAAGTACATGCCCAATGCAATGCCGACAACCTGCTGAAGTTACTCGTTTCATTTGCATTGCGTCCCCGCTTCAAAAGGGCAACCATGATTTCGCCACATCCGAGGATGGAGCACGCGCGCAGAGGGGTCAGTCCTTGAACATTTTTGGCAATAGCATCGGCTCCAGCATCGAGCAGCACGTTCACCACGTCCCCCCCGCTTGTGTCGAGCGGCGTGGTGCAAAGCAGTGCGGCCGTGGGGGTCGACAGCGCTCGCGTCTCCGCCGTTCCCAAGTAAAGCTATGACCACTTCAACGTGTCCTTTTCCTGCTGCCAAATCGAGCGCCGCGACCCGGTGGTCGTGAATATGGCTGGCACGTGGGGTGGTGTCGGCACCAGCCCGAAGAAGAGCCTCCACTGTGGAACGGTGGCCATTTGTAGACGCCAGCATCAGTGGGGAAAACCCATCTTTCGCGAGAGCGTCGATATCGGTGCTGGTGTTGCCGAGCAGGGCCGACACGACACGATTGTTGCCACGTCCAGCAGAAAGATGTAGAGGAGTAAGGCCGAATCTGGTGCGAGAATTCGGACAAGCTCCACGGATCAAGAAATTACCCACCAGATCGCCATGTCCTCCTTCAGCGGCGACATGGAAGGGCACACACTGATTCCCCTGGTCGAGCCGGTGCATGTTGGCTCCAGCAATCATAAGCGACCTCGCTGCCGCTTCGTGACCGCATACAACGGTCAGGTGCAGCGCCGATCTCTTTTACGACACCTATAACACATTGACATCCGGCGCACATCCTGATTCAAGCAGCTTCGTCACCACGTCCGCGTTTCCACCCAGGGCAGCGGCGTCGAGCATTGTCCGGCCGCGGCACCCTCTCCGCCCTGCTCTGCCGTGGGCGCCGGCCTCGAGCAGCCTCTCGACAAGGCCGATGTTGCCGCGGGCTGCGGCATGCTCCAGTGGAGACCGGAGCCAGGCAGCTCATTGATCGGGAGTAGCGCCGAAAGAGAGGAGCTTGAAAATCTCAACCTCCGCCCCTCCGAGCAGAGCACGCTTCGGGTACAGGTGCATGCTTGACGACGGTGATTTTTTTTTTTTAAATCGAGTCTCGCCGCTTTGTTGTCCTCGACGCCGCAGAGAAACAAAGTAGGGACTGACTCTTGCAGATCTCCTTGGTGACCTGGATGGTAATCGGACAGAAACAACCTGCAGAGCTACGTCTCTTTAACAGGCACGCGTGTCCGTGTGGTGGGCCAGCCAGACAACGCGACACAGCAGTTTTGGGCGTTATGATGGGGCTTGACGCCAGGACAACCCTCGAACAAAATGCAGTGTAGGGGGCTCCGCACTCAGACTGGTACCCCGTACATTCTACGGATGTCAGCCGTGGACCTCCCAAGGTTGAGGTTGATCGGCGACCCGCTAACACACCTAGAGCGAGCGAGAGTAGCACCTCCCACTCACGTGCCCCAAGAGGGTCGAACTTGTGGTAGTGTCCGTCCATCTCCTCCAGCTTCGAAAGAAACAACGCTTACGAAATAGCGAATAAATTCCGCTGGTCGTCTTCAGCATGCCGGTCCGCCGTACCCGCTCTTTGCTGAAAGGTCAAGAAGTGGAGATTTTCAAGCTCGTATCCAAGGGTGCCACCCCAGAGCAGTGGGCGGAGTGGCTGCGGGTTCCACTGGAGCACGCCGCCGCCAGCGGCAACTTGGACCTCGTTAATAAGTTGCTGAAGGCTGGGGCTGACGGCGAGGCCGGATGGAGGGGTTGCGGCGACCGGACTCTGCTCGACGCTGCTCTCTCGGGTGGAAACGCTGGTGTCATGTCTGCCTTACTTCAAGCAGGGTGTGGGCCGGATGCCAATGTGTTGGCCCCGTCCACCGGCAGATCGGTGCTGTACCAGTCAATCTTGAGCAATCAGAAAGCTGTGGCGAGAGAGCTCATCCTAGCCGGAGCCGATGTCAACATCAAGGACCGCGCCGAAAAAGCCGGCCCCCTCCTCGCCGCTGTTAGAGCAGGATGTGACGATCTTGTGCGTGAACTACTGATGGCCGGAGCAAACCCGAACGCTCGTCTAGGTTACGATCGCGGAACAACTCTGCACGCTGCGGCTGGGATGAACAAAGCGAAAATTGTTTCGGTGCTGTTGAGCTCTCCCATGACCGATAAGGACGCCCTCGTCGACGGGTACACCCCGCTGATGGTGGCGGCCGAGCAGGGTCATGTGGCCACGGTGAAGGTTCTCTTGGCCGCAGGTGCTGATGTCGACGTGCGGGAGGTGGACTACTCCTGCTCAGCGCTCTCCTTGGCCGCTCAGTACGGACGTATTGGCGTGGTGAAGGCCTTGCTGGAGCATGGTGTAGATGCCAATGAGGGGGTTATCGACGATCAGAGCCCTCTTCACTGGGCCGCCGGCCACAACAGACCCGACTGTGTTGCGGTCCTGCTAGATGCCGGAGCCAACATTAACGGTCGGTGTAACTTCCTTGACAACCATACACCTCTCCATTCCGCCTCCAAAACTGCGAGTAACGAAGCCCTGCTCGCCCTCTTGAGTCGGGGAGCCCGCGTCGACGAGAAGACGGACGATGGATCGACGGCTCTACATCTCGCAGGCCACGCGAGGGGCTATAAAGTCGACGACACCGTGGATACTCTTTTGAGATGGGGCGCCTCAGAACAAGCCGTCGATGAGAATGATGAAACACCCGTTGATCGGTTGACAGAAGTGGCGCGTGAAGTGGTGTGGGAGTGGCCGGAGCTAGACCGCGCACTCGAGCTGTTGGCCCGTGCTCCAGCGGACAGGGCGTGGCGGCGCCGGGGTTGGCTGGTGATGCTTCATGAACGAACCAAGAAGGAACGGCACGTCCGCGGCGATCGCCCACGCAAGGGAGAGAAAGTAGGCAGTGGCGAAGAGGTTCTTCTCGGTGATGGGGAGCGTGGCCGCGGTAAGAACGCGCGACGTCGCGGCGGGGCGGCCGTCAAGGCGGACTTGCGCGGTGTGGTGAACGTGCTGGTAGGGCTGGAGTCGGAAGGAGTGTTCCGCACGATCGTGGGCTACGTCTGAGATGAGAACTTCACGGAAGGACAGGTGTGTCAGCGTTGGGGAGCGTTGCTGTAATCTACCAAGGTGAAATCTAGATGAAGTTCCTCCGCATTTGACAAGAGTAACATTTCCAATAGGTGTTGGGTCATAAGTTCGGTTGGCCGCTTCGAACGCACACATTCGCATTTTGAGACGTTGTTCATCTCGCACTGCTTGTGTAGAGTTCAGCGCCGATGCTGCCATCCACGTCACTGCTTTACAGCCGCATTGCGAAGGTGAGACGAGCCCACACTTGATGGCTTCCTGAAAATTACCGTTCAACACTACAAGAAAGGGAAACGTCCATCGACTAAAATTTGGTACTGGCGGCGGGCATCGCGCACTCAAATCAACTGCGTTGTTGGAGTTGTAGGATTGTTGAAGGGATGCTTGAGGTGGCTCGGCGTGGTGCGGTTGTTGGGTGTGTCGTTACACTGAAACCGACCGTTACACTGAAACCGACCGTTACACTGAAACCGACCGTTACACTGAAACCGACCGCTCTCTTCCCCCCTCTTGGAAACGCAAGGAAGCGAATTTCAGATCATGGCCAGAGAAATGTGATTTGTTTAAAATATTTACAGTAAGTCCTACCTTGCAACACGTATTGCTAGAATACCAAGCCCAGAAGAACATCGCCATTTGTAAGCCGAGTCGTAAACAAAGTAAGACCCCTCTCCGATCTGCGAAGAGGGCATGTGACAAGTTGATGAACAATGTTCGAGACAACAAACGGGCGTTCATAGTGAAAAAAGTTTATTTCAATAGGGTCGAAGTCCCTCGGAAGGTCCGTCTCTGTCCATATCTCCCTCACCACTCCAGGTGTCTCCTATCGTTCCGAACAGTGATATTCGTACCGAGCACACCATAGGCTCAAACAGTAGCAAGATACGAGCAAGATATTATGGCACCCTTCGAAGCTCGGGAGTGTTCGTCTCCGGGCAGACCAATCATGTCATTTTTGGAAAGCTACACCAAAACGAATCACCACGCATGTCATCCATCTTTTGCCACCCGCTCCTTTGCCGAGGGCTCGTGTTACGTGTATCACCAACAGGGCGAACACCCCTCCACTCAGGTTTGAGAGTGTTGGGACTGTGAGGTAACACAGGCGATCGTTATTCTCCGTGTTTTCCCTCAGTCGGTTTCGTTTGGAACCTCCATCCCCCCAATACAAAACAACTTGGCCGAAAATGAGGAAAATTGCTGCGGTTTTTCCTCAACGTGGAAACAATAATGGCGAATTTCGGATGTGCGTTTTGAAAAGTTCACTTTCACTTGTAAGGGAAAATAGCCAGTTTGTTGCCGCCAGAAGAATGACCTTTCGACCTCAGGAAGTTTTATAAGCACGAAGGGCAGCTGGCGTCTGTACACTGCATCGATCGCCCAACACGATGTAGTGCAGTAGGATCCGCAACAATATCCTAGGGCATCTTGCTGCCTATATGCGTTGTTGGATATGGCTTGAAGATTCGCGGGGTGCGTTGCGAGAGAGCGACGAGCGTTTGGATGTGCTGCGTGCGTTTGTTCTTGCGTGCACAGAAACGAACCCTGTCAGGGTGCGTGCGTATGCATTCCAGCTCAAAAACGTCGCATCCTCTCTCACGAGACGCTCACAACGCTCCAGTCAGACTCGTCTCGGTTGGTGGCAGGGTACCTCAGAGCTGTGGAGCACGTAGCGTCGAAGGTTTCACCCGTATGCAAGCATCTGTAAGGGAGATACAACTTGGTCGCGGGCCATCCTGATGAGACTCCCCCCTGGTGACGTCGTGACATCACATGGTTAAAAGTAAAACCTTCGGAAAAAACGGGACTGGTCCCAGGAACGGTGCTCTTAAAAGTAATAGTGAACTTTTTCGAACAACTATTAAGAGTACTCAAGAACTTAAACGTCGCGTGTTTTAGGATCTTTCAACGGGACTGTCTGTTTATTGTTGTCATCGAGATGGCCACCGCCGAAAAATCGGGTACGCAGCTTGCCTGGGCGGGTGTGAGCCGCTGTCGACGGGTGTGTGACCGCAACTCCCCGAAAGCTAGCGACAACAACAACAGCAGCAGGAGGGGCAGTACAAGTGTAGCCGCCGGGGTACGCAGCGTCGCACCGCGTACACTCACACCTTCAGTGCTGCTGTTGAGTTCTTATAGTTATGCTCGGCGGGCTTTCTGCTGCTTGCAGAAGGCATACATGTGTTTGGAATCCTCAGAGTGTTAAATGTTGTAGGTCAATAGGACCATTGCCAGTTTTTTGTCTTTTCGAGATTACCGATATTTTTATCCGATCCTGCTCATGAGCGCAGCGATCAGGTACAGCTCCAGCGACATTGAACAACGCGCCGCACAAACCTTTGCTGCTGTGGATCATGCCGACCTTCCCTTTCCTTCATGGCATAAAGACCAGAGTAAATAAATGTGCCGATTAAGGACCACTTAACGGAGCCCCCGCTCTGAGAGGTCGTTCTCAGGTGTCTTGACGATTTGTGGCGACAGAGAGGTATCGAACGTTAGCTTATAACACGACCTAAACGATGAAACAACAAAAAACAAAAAAAATGCATGTGGTGATGACATGGTGCCAGCGTAGTATTCTTCATTTGTCAGGGAAAACTACCGGTAAAACACAAATGCCCCGATCAAGGACCACTTCGAATTCGTAGTGATTGCGCACGTTCTAATGATTTCCAGAACTTTTCCTTTGGCAAGTATCATTATGGTAGTAATACAAAGCATTTCCGAAACAAATATTTAAAAAAAACATGCATGTCCGGGGACAAAAACAAGAAATCCCCGTGTTTTTTTGCCTGTTTTTGGGCCAAAAATGGCCTACATTGGGCACCACGCAAAGAGATTTCAAGTGGTTTTTGCCCGTTTTTTCTTCGGCATCGTGGCAAGCACCCCTAGAATAGACACCATGCAAATTTTTGTTGTCATTCGGGTTGATTTAGTCTCTATCTGACATACAGACGCGATATTTGCCCCCATTTGGACGAAAATGGAGGGGGGCAAAATAGAAAAAATAAAAGAAAAAAAAGAGGATGAAAATGCAAAATGCACGACGCAAGGTTCGAACTAGCCTCGTACTGGGTCTATGGAGAGCAACAAAACATCAGACCACACAGTGGCCTACGCACTCACGGAAAACTACCATTATATAGGTCAATATTATGACCTGGCTTAGCTGGAGCCACCACACAGCACCAAAAAAAAAAAGCATACATCACCTGGCGCAGAATGCTGTGTAGAACGAAGTCCTCCACCAAATTGAGTAAACTGAGGCTTAAATGAAAGGTGAGGTGCATAGCAACACGAAGAAAAAAACAGAAAGGCTTTCCGCGATGGTAGAGTCCGTCCGGTTAAATTTTGCCACCATCTCCTGAAATCACCTTGGGAATTGTTTTGAGTGACTGACGTACCCCCTAGTGACATACTTTATATCGTAAGAAAGCTCTGTTTCCGGCGGATCGTTTGGATGGAGCAGATTTTTTTTTTTTGGTTGGCGAGAAAATCACGATTCCGTGGAGATTTTGGACGATTTTGGTTAGTTTTATTTGGGCGAGTGTGAGGTCATATATTTTTTTTTAGACCGGTTTTGAACGTATCACGCCCAGGGGCTCACGGCGACACAACTCAGCTTTATTTTCGCTAATAAACAACGGAGATATGGGCAGAAAACCGCATTTCAGGTGCCCTCAGAGTTTAGTTTCTTGGGGAGTATTGAACCATACGATGTCCAAAAACTCAACGGATTCGGGCGAATTGGACCTGCACCTAGGGACGTTTTTTTTTTTTTCCAAAAAAAATTCGTTTGAGCGAAATATGGCCGCTCAAAGTTTGGTGCTGCTGACACACACACAAAGCCACACACGAAACACCATAACCCACACCATACAGCAGCACCGGGCACCCCAAGAGACCAAGCGACAACTCCTGAGCAGCGCAAGGCCAAAGAGTCGGCCGCCCTTGCCGCGGCGCAGGAGGCCAGGAAGGTTTCTAACGAGGCTGCCGACAAAATGCTGAAGAGGTTCATGGCGACAAAACTCGCTGCCACCTGAGTTTGAGCGCAGCAGCACCAGCCGCCGCGATATTGTTGGCCGATGATCGAACACCCAGGCAAAGATGACCGCCTACAGGGTGGCCTTGTGTGTGTGCGTGTTTGTTATCGACCTAATGTATCTAGATATCTCACGTTAGGGTGCTATCATTATGACAAGTATAGCTTGGGGAGCTGCTGTCACGATCAATATAAAATATTATCACATTCAATAACTGCTAGTATGTCGGCGTTTCGAGACAGTTTCGGGGAGAATGGGGGTCCCGTGGGGGTTTTTTGGGGGCCCGGTGAGTGCATGTGGGGGCCCCGTGGGATCATGGGGGGGTCAAATTCGCCAAAAAGTGGCCAAATACACGGATTTTTTTTTTGACCCCGGATTTCGATGCTTCTCGACCGTGCGGTTCTTGCCAACTTTGTTTCACGATTCAATTCCTAAAAATGAGCGAGAAAAAGTGGGGGTCACGTTGTGGCAAAATTTAACCGGACAGACTATATCGGGAAGATATGTTTGTTTTTTTTTTAAGTGGTTCCTAACTGGGGGGTGGTCCTTAATACATACCCACAATTACTCTGTATAATCGATTCGTTTTCCTTCCGGAGTAAGAGATTGCACACTTTTGCTGCGGTGCAAAAAAAGTTCAGTTGCCGGTAGATCAACAGCTTTCGCAGATTTGTTGTATTCAGGAACATGTTGGATAATGCATACAATCGGGGAAGTTGGGTTAGGGTTAGGGACTAGGGTGTGCGTCCCCCCTTCTTGTTATATTTCCTCATAAACTTATTAATCGCGCGAAGGCGGTCCCGGTAGATTCGATGCCAAAGCAATTTTCTCAGCATTTTCCAGCGTAGGGGGGGTAACTCGTTCTATCTGGAGGTCGTTGTACCCCACGAGATGGCTCGATACAGCAGTAGCATACCTTTTTGGCGCTTGTGGCAAAGAACGGTGCGGTGTCAGAAAGGCGCGATCAGCAACAACCTCAGCGTTCTTGTCTGCCTCTCCCTCGCATACATCCCTACGGTCATCAATAAACACAAATCACAACTATGCAGAGGAGAAACGGCAGCAGCAGGATGCGGAGATAGATGCGGAATTCGTGTGAAAATTGGTAACAGCATACATCCCACCAAGTTGTTTTTGCTTGGGTCACATGCAAATGGAGTGAGAAGTTTTTGCAGGTGTGGTTTTTGACTTACCTCTTTCCATGATGCGGGCCGGAACCCACTCCCAAGGGGGGAAGCATATTTACCTTATGTTCCACAGTTTCGGACTGAGGCTCCAAATTTTCGGGTTTAAGGAAGCAGATTTTGCGATAAGTTGTTTCCTGAGAACTTCGTGCTCGTCAAATTTTTCAGATTCAAGCGGCTTCATGTGATTGGCTGTGGGTCAACAGTCCTCCCACGAACTTCCCCTGTCCGCAGGTGCTGTTGCTATTTCGTGATGCGCTGCGTAACAGCCAGCTGTGCACCTTGCTTGATGACAAGGGGCTCTCACTGCTGCTGCTGTTGCGTGTGCGTGCGTGCGTGCGTGCGCGTGTCGCTTGTCTGCGTCGCTCCCTCAACCCCAGCACACGAAATCGCACCACACCAGTACGGAGACAGGAAGTGATTACTGTACACTGGCCGACAACAGCCTCTGAACGAAGTGTTATGTCGCGTTTCAAGCGTTCGGGAGAGAGACGGGGGGTTTGGGACCGGGAGGCACACCCGAGTGAAACGCTCGTCTTTCTAGTAGAANAGACAGGAAGTGATTACTGTACACTGGCCGACAACAGCCTCTGAACGAAGTGTTATGTCGCGTTTCAAGCGTTCGGGAGAGAGACGGGGGGTTTGGGACCGGGAGGCACACCCGAGTGAAACGCTCGTCTTTCTAGTAGAAACCAGAGAAAATACTCTTGCGCGCGGAAGGACGCGCCCGCCTTCACCAGGAGACCACCACGTGCTCTTCCTCCTCTCTGCTCTTCTTCTCTGCTGGCGGCGTTGTCACCACCTCTAGGTTCGTGCGCTCTTTCTCCTCCTTGCCTCAATCTGACGGGCGTGTTTTTGACCTCAAGCCAGGCGGAAACAAACCCAACTTTCTGACCGTGCAGCCTCCCTGTTTTTGTGTTGGTGGCGCGCCAACTTCAAGGCCTTTCGCTGGGCGCTGGCCTTCTCTTTGGCCGCGCTGACATGTTCTCAGCAGACTGCTGTGTGTGCGTGCGGTGGTGCGTGTGATGTTTTATTTCGAAGAACANCAGAGAAAATACTCTTGCGCGCGGAAGGACGCGCCCGCCTTCACCAGGAGACCACCACGTGCTCTTCCTCCTCTCTGCTCTTCTTCTCTGCTGGCGGCGTTGTCACCACCTCTAGGTTCGTGCGCTCTTTCTCCTCCTTGCCTCAATCTGACGGGCGTGTTTTTGACCTCAAGCCAGGCGGAAACAAACCCAACTTTCTGACCGTGCAGCCTCCCTGTTTTTGTGTTGGTGGCGCGCCAACTTCAAGGCCTTTCGCTGGGCGCTGGCCTTCTCTTTGGCCGCGCTGACATGTTCTCAGCAGACTGCTGTGTGTGCGTGCGGTGGTGCGTGTGATGTTTTATTTCGAAGAACATTGCTAAATCGAAAAATCGTGAAAATTTTTCCACAAACCAAGCCTCCCTCGGGTCTTTCTGTCATTTTTTCCCATGTTGTGGGTTCTGGCGAGACTGTCAGGAGCGATCCTCAGAACGACGGCTTAACTCAAAATATGTTTCCTTATTTCGGAAAACTTTTTAAGTCCGAAACTGTCAATTAAATATACCACTTCCTTGCACTCCGTAGGGGGTTTGTTTCGATGAGTTCGCGCTGGGACTATCCTTTTTACCTCACCTCTCCGTTGTTTGAAATCACAGCGAACCAAGGGTACACGGTAGTTGGAGCCGAACGCCGCGTTTCCGTTCGGCATTTGTACGAGTGAGTGTCTCGCGATGCCCTATCCTCCTTCCTTCACCTTGAGCCTGTTGCAAGCCTTCGCGGGTTTAGCGAGAGCTAGGGAGCGCAGTGTTGTGTGTTTGTCGCATTTTTGGGGTCCCACCCGAGATTCCCCTCCTGGATAGTGTTTGTCAGAAACAACGAACTCTCCCTGCAGTTTTCCTTCCGGGATGATCGATTCCACGAAGGAAAGAATATCCCGCCCGATTGCGGAGAAACAAGGGGGTCTTGAGCTATTGTGGGTTAGAAACATACCAAGCTTTAAGTAACTCGAGGCCAGCGAGCAGGTCAAACCAGTCTTCAGCGGGTATTCAGGATGTCGCTTTCCAAGGCATGCATTATCTCTGACAGATTGTATTTCTTCCTCTGCACGCGTGTTGCTTTTTGGTGTTCTCGCGATCGTGCAGGCGCACGATGACCACCCTGGTGGGACTGCCGAGGACGTGCAACGCCGACCAGACAAAGTCTGTAATCCTGCCTATCTGAGGAGGCTCATCGATAATGTCATCGTGTCAAGTCCGTCTGGGTCGCGCATGTGCATGTTATGCATGCCTTGATGTGATCGACACGATCCCGTCATCGTCATCAGTAATATGTTTGTACAAAGGAAGCAACGGAGTTTGTAGGTTAGGGAGAAAATCCGATTGAAGCAATGGATAACATGGACTGCTGCAGTTTTGTGCCAGTCCATCCAACCTCTTTAAAACCAACCCAGTCCAACATGTGGTGTCTCCTCATATGGCATGCGCAGAAGGGGTGGTCGTAAGACCATTTGTATCAGTGTCGGATATCGTTGCTCACGGTGAGCATACGATTCCACTAGGTTTCCATTCGGGTAAATAGTCGTTCGGCTCGCGCTCCATGGTTTGGCACAGAAGTGAAGGTGGCGCCCAGAGGTATACATGTTTGTCTCAGCCTGTTCATCGTGTAGTTGTATGTAGCTGTGTGTTTCGCAAGTTCGTTTGGCTCAATGTTGTCATGCCGCCCGAGGATTTCGCGATCGTCGCAAACGCGCGGTCCGGGAAGGCTCCTCAACCCGTGCACGCTGCGGATGAGCGTAGTTTCAGGTGGTGCCATCGGCATTTTGCCACTGCCCTGGATAGGCAAAGCACAAGCGGCACTCTGCCCCAACTAATTCTGTCCCTCAATCGTTTGCTAAGGTCTGCCGATGGGAAATGTTCAGGCCCGACAACTGGGCAACAAACGGTGCAAACGCTACTTCGAGATCGAAGCAAGCCCCACCGGGAGGGAGATTTGCGCCCCTTGGAAACCCTCTTTTGATCCGCCGCGCGCATCCCCTCGTTGGGATTATTTTTTTACGAAGTGGGTAGCACATTCTCCATGGGAGCACGTCTTCAGGTAGACGCCACTCCGAAGAGACTTGAACAAAACCAAAGAATGAATCCGATCGTACACCAGCGGTCGGGTCCTTTGGGAGCTAAGTGTACCTCTGTGAGAAGAGGGCATCGTCCTCGACAGACTTTTAGGAGATGTGATCCGGTCATGTCTCTCCCACAAGCCATCGCAGCACTCTGGCGGATCCATCTGCGGTGAGGTTGTATGCCCAACTGCAACGAAGGTTGTCATTTCTTTCGTGGGATTTTGCGCGTTACCAACATCTTTGTTTTCCATCAACGCCAGAATTGGCGTCCATTTCGCCAATAGCTTGCAACAAAACACGAAGCGCCGCGTACTTTTTATTAGCGTTGAGTTCATTCGATAGGTAGGTAACCCATGAATGCCACGAAAGTACGGCCGCATTGAACCGTAGTTGTATCTGTGGGCGCCGACGTGCCGACACAACTCATGTTAAATGTCACCCGATACGAAAACATAAGAATATTATTTCTCACACACACTCCAGTCTTGGACGCCCTAACGCTGTTGACCGTTACCTCCTTTTACAAACGAGTGATGGCACTACGGAGGTGGACTGGGTTCGCCCAAAAATAACAGCGTCCATGCCTCCACAGCACGGGAGGCGCCACAAACTATTCACATGGTAACCACACGACCCGAAAAAACCCAGCAATATGGATTTGATTCGGGTAGCAGGTGTCGTGTGCGTGCCGCCGCAACGCGAAGGCCGCGGCGCAGAACCGAAACTTGCTGTACATGATGCGCGCATGCTACACGACAAAAAAAAAAGGTACGTCAAAAGCCGGCACACGTGCAGTGTAGTCAGTCGTGTTCGCCAGCCCGTACCTACTCCGTATCGCACGATTATACACCAAGGAAGGGCCAACGTCTCTGTCGACTCGTGTACAACAGAGTCGGCGGCATCGACAAGGGAGCACGGCCGCGGCTTCAGTAGCCTCGACCTTGCACGCATGCCTCCAGCAGGTCCGTGATGCACTTCGTCTGGGCGGACGGGGACGGGAGGTGAAGAGGGGGAAAGTCGGGTGTCAACAAGAGGAACACATTCTCCCACAAGTTTCCCTGCGCATGGAGGTGCGCCCACAGCGCGGCGGGAAACCTAGGCACCCACACCCACCGCCCGAGCACCGTTGAAGCAGAAACGAGCCTCAAACATAGTCTACAATCCACCGCGCTCGCTCCGAGTGCCTTTAAGCGGAAAACAGCTCCGAACCTAATATCCCACGAACCCGCTCGCCCTGTAGTGAGTCGAACACATGCACTGTGCCTCGCCCGAAAAACATACTATTGTGCACATGTGCCAAAACACACCTTTTCCGATCTCAACCACAAGCGCCTGTCCTCCATGTGCTTCCTCGCCAAGCGGCAGCTCCTCTCGTTCTCGAACGCCAGCTCGCACGCCCAGGCCTGCATGTCGCACATCGATCCGGCGTCCCCTCCTCCGCTACTTTCCACCGAAGCGCCGCTGACGGCCCCTTCCGTCGTCGCCACATTGCTACTACTGCTTCCTGTGCCGCGGCCGCCGCTGCCGCCGGTGCTGGACCTTGGGGTCGAGGCTCTCGGTGCCGCAACCGGCCGCATGAGCGCTACAGGGCTGTGGGAGAGCGCCCTGATGAGGAGGCGCTTGTCGTCGGCGGGGTCCACTGCCGCGGCCAGGTGCAGCAGCGGTGCCGACGACTTTATCTCCCCGTTCATGAGTCGATTCCTGATCATCCAGGTGCGTTGTGAAGAACGAGACTATCAACAGCTAGTGGAAGATAGGAGGGAAGTAGCGCGAGCAGCGAGGGATTCTGCTTGCTTTTCTGGGTAGAGGAAAACGGGGGTTTCCTTACTTTTTGTGAGGAAGAGGACAGCATAGAATCGGGCGTAAAAAACACTCCCATCAATTGACATCCTCACAGCGGGTGCGTAACCTTTTCGAGGGTAGGCATCGATGTGGGACACGACATACTTGCAGTCCCGCCGCTACACCACCGAGCAACACAACACGCCACATGGAGACCGCTCCCACGGGAGACCTATTTGCGTGGATTGGTAAACGAGCACTGCACATTAAGTACACCTGAAGCTTCAAGAACAACCGGGGTGAAACTCTGACCTCGAGCACACATTTCTTCTTCGAGCTGTACTTGCTTTACGATGCTGTCTCACTTTTTCGTGTAATAACCAGGAAAAGCCCCTGGCTCGCGAGCAACGAGACGTGCTCTGGGGGAAAATATCTACATACCCAACCGGGAAGACGGTAGATGACGAGGACGACGAGTTCAAAAAGGGATTGCGGCTTCGAATGCGAAGACCGTGTTCGTGTAGTCGCGGAATGTCCGTGGTACAAGAAGGAGAGGGAAGTGTACGTGACTGAGCTGGGAAAAATAAATGGGACGGACAGGGAGATGTTTGAGGCATGGAATA